ATTTTGAAATGGACTGCTTCAGTATACGATGTGTCATGAATGCTGCTGAACATTGTGCAATGATCAACAAACACTCCCACTTATAGATTTATGATGGAGGAAGGATCATTAATTGAGCAGCTTAAGATGGTTTACTCTAAGACATTACCCTGAGGAACTGTTGCAGTTATGTCCTGAGGCTGCAGTGATTGATTTCCAACAACCACAAACCGTTTTCCTTCTAGGTATGACTTTGAATCTTGGATTCTTTTCTCCTGGATTCCCATTGACTTCAGTTTTGCTAGGGCTCTTTTGATGTTGCAGAAGTCACATGCGGCCTTGGTGTCAAAGATAGTCACTCTGAAACAAACACAAAGTGCTGGAGAAAGTAAACAGGTCTGCTAGCATCTGTGTAGTGCAAAAGCAGGAACTTGTTTCTGTACTGAAAATCAATGTTCCAAGTCAGTTTTGTATTTCAGAATTTTTGTCTTACCATCAAAACAATGGTCTAGAATGACTTCTTTCTCATGAAGAAATGGCTCTTGCCATTCAGTCCACATACAGGTGCCAGCAGACTTTGTGAGAACATATCATCTGAGATGTCTGTTAATCTAGTATTTGCATTAATATGGCATTCCCACAGAGGACCTTTCACATCTGCAACCAGGGAAGGCAACATGAACACTCTGCAATCAATCTGGTTGAAGAATTGTCATTGTGTCTCATACAGTATAATTCATAGTATAATTATAATAAGGAAGTCAAGAACCTGGATGAGAAAGCTGAGGAGCTGAAACTCCTTGCCAACAAATGTGACACCTGGTGCTTCTTCAGTGCCACCGCAACAATATAAGGGCCCCAATACCTTTGGCTCAAACCGGTGTGGAGTAAGGACGGAACCCTTTTGAGAGAGGAAACATCAGCCTTTGATGGAGGGAGCACTTCAAAGCACTCCTGAACCACGACACATTCGTAGATGAATATATGTTTGAGGAAATCCCCAAACTCCCTGTCAATGATGATCTTGGACTCTTGCCTAGTGTGGCAGAAGTCAAAGCTGCCATTAAACATGTGAAGAATGAAAAATCAGCAGAAGTCAAGCAGGAGATGTGTCATCACCCCCACCCTTTTTCCATTTTCTTTACAACCATCCTTTATCCTGTCAACAGCAAGCTCCCCAGTAAACTGGTTTTCTATTAAATGTTTCTTTAAACCTTCTCTATTGTTCCTGTGTTGTTTTACCAATTAGCAGGTTTTCCCAGTTTACTGTGGACAATCTCCGTCTTATCTCATGAAAGCTGGTCTTGCCTAAATCTAGAACTCTAGAAGCTGATTTATGCTTTTTAAAACTTTCGAGTGCTACATTGAACGCCACCATTTTGTGATCACAGTTTGTTAAATGTTCATGCATAACTAGGTTATTGATTAAATCAGGGTCATTACTAAATCCAAAATTGCTACATTTATACAATCTAGCACTTCAGAGCTGCTACCAGGGGATCAGTACACAACATCCATTACAGTTTTGGATGCTTTACTGTTTCTCACTTCCACCAATACGGTCTCCACTTACATCCTGCCTCATTACTGAAGTAACTTTGTTTCAGTAAGGCTATTGTACCTCATCTGCTGTTTTCCCTGTCCGTCGTGTAAACGTTTATAACCTGGTATGTTTAGTTCCCGATCCCAACTGTCCTGCAGCTATTTGTCGGTTATGGCTACAATATCATAATCTCCGATTTGAACTTGTACCTGCATCTCACTTAATTTATTTGCTGATGCCCTGTGTACTTGTATATAGAATCCTAATTTGGGCCATAAACTTGAACCTGTCCCTCAGTACTGGTGCTTTATTCACCTGTTTATTGTTCTCTTTTCCGGCTTAATTAATACACTAACTTTAATTGCCTTGAAGTAGAATTCCCAGCTGCTGTTTCTTTACTCTCATGTTACTCTTGGTTTCAAACTGTATTGACTTCCACTGAGCTCCCTCTCTGTCTCCCCCATAACTATCTCTCGTCTGTCTCTCTGCCGCTCTGTGTCTCTTTTTTTTTCTCTTCCCACCCCCATTTACTCATTTAAAGTGACTACCCTATTTATCCTTTCCACTAAGACGTTGGTCTCAGGTGGAGCTCATCCCATTGATTTAGTTCCTTCCTGTCCTAATACTGATGCCAGTACCCCATGAAGTGGAGCCCCTTATCTCTTGGCCAATTTGTATGTGGCTCAGGTAATAATCCAGAGATTAATAACCTTTGAAGACTTGTTCTTTAATTTTGATCATAATTCCTGATTATTCCCCAGACAGTGCGATTTGCCTTTGTTGTTGGTCCTAGCATAGAAAACGACAAGTGAGTCCTCCCCCTCCCACTTCATTATCCTTTCAAGCTGATTCAAGCTGTCCTTTACCTTGACACCAGGCAAGCAACACACCATGCAGCACTCTCGACTGTAAACAAAGGATGCTATCTGTATCCCTAATTGTAGAATCCTCTTACCACTACCACTTTTTGACTCCCCCACTTGAACGGTCTCCTGTACCATGGTGCAATGGTCAGTTTGGACATCCTCTCTCCAGCCCTTTTCCTCATCTACACAGGGGCATATCTGTTGGACAAGGTGAAGAGTTGAAGCTTCTCCAATACAAAATTCAGGATCTCTCTTGTAGTCATACCCACCATCTGACCACTGGCCAGATTTGTAGTAGTTAACCAATAGGTTATGACTGTCTTCTGAAACAGAATCCAGATAACTCTACCTCTCCCTGATGGGTCTTGGTGTTCAAAGCTCAGACTCCAGCTCATCAACTCTGAGCTGGTGTTCTTCGAGCCACCAACACTTGCTACAGATGTGGTCACTATGAACCACAGTGGGGCACTGCAGCTCCCAAATCATGCATGCACAACACATTTCCTGGCCCTGCATCTCTAAATTATTTAATAGTTTTTGAATTTGTATTTTTAAATTTCCCCACTGGTATTTAGTGTTTAATCTACAAAATACTTCTCCAATTTACCTTTATCTTTTCCAGGTCTCTTTCAAATTAGTCAAATTGGCAGTTCTTTACCAACCAGTAAACTTATGGCTTTTCCTGTGATGTCACTTTTTTTTTTCGCTCTCCTCCCCAGCTGGCTCCTCTTCCTCCTAATGCACCAAATTCCCTAAGACCTTACTTTGATATGAAAGAGCAGAGGTCATAGCTTGAGGGAAAAGGAAGTGAGAGAGGAGATGATCTCTCTCTCTAACTCCCTGTTTCACCAAACTCTAGTTACACTCAAATGGAACAAAGTAGCACCCCAGTGCAGACAAGGCTGTACTGAAGAAGGTCTTTCCTTATGGCCCGTACTTTAAAGGGTTCTGAAACTATATTAAACTGGCATATCTTGGAACTCCTTTCTTAACAGCACATTGGATGTACCCACGTCCCAAGACTGCAACGGTTCGAGAAGTATGACGATGCTATGGCTTTAAAAGATATAATTTGTCCTGGTTTTTTAGAAGAGAAATTTTGAGCCACAGCTGATGAAATATCTATTCAAACTCAATAAAGTAAACAGCTTGTGAGGCCTTGGGTTTTTCGAAAGTTAGGGTGAATTGGTGGAGTCAGGCTTTCATAGAAGCAGGGTTTTAGTTGAGCTTTGAGCAATTAGACTGAAGGGTCTATTTTTGTGCTGTATGGCCACAAGACTAGGACTGTAAGTTGCTGGGGTTTCGAAACTGGTTGTGGAAGCTGTAACACCTTTCTTCTTCTTACAGCAAAAAAGCTAAGGTTCTGTTTCTGGTGCCATAATCATATGTGAGACAATCTCTGTTTTACTGACTTTGCCTTTGCCAAGGGTGTGTTTATGGAATATTACTATATTGGAATGGTTGCTGTTAGGTATTTAAATAAACTATTAGTCTTTTGAGTCTTCCAGTAGAGTTCTTCTTTCTTGCATTTGTGTTTTAACTGAGAGTAAGCAGAAAGTGTGTTTTGTTTAAAGCCAATTAGTGTGACATATCAAATTACATCTGGAACGCAGCACCTTGCCTTTAAATAAGCTAAAAGTTAGGGTCTAGGCTATCTCCTTGATTATATCTGCAAGGGGTTTGGTCAAGTGCATAACAGAAGGCTGCTGATTACTGTCTTCTTTTGGGCAGTCAGAGATGGAAAAGACAATGCCAGCCCAGCCAGCAATGCCAATATCCCATAAACAAATAGAATATTGTCAGATTTATCCTATAATAACAACTGATGGTCTTGCTGGTATTGTTGAGATGATACTATGGCTTTAAGGTGTGTGTTTTGTCCTGGTTTATTTTAGAGAGAGACTGGGGGACAGGTGTTGAGCAGTCTATGAGCAGATAAACAACTCGAGGCCTTAGTTTTTTTTCTCCTCAAAGTTGGAGCAATAGAAGCAGCCTGAGTGGGTCTAGTCAAGCTCTCACATATCAAGGATTGTTAGCTTTCAGCAGTTGCTGTTGTGGACATGAAGTGGAATTACAGCCAAAAGCTGGGGTTCTCTTCCTAGGCTGCTAGATTGCATGTGAGACAAATTCCATTTTGTGAATTTGCCCTTTTGCCAAACGGTGTATTTATGGGATGTTACTATATTGGAACAGTTAATTAGTAATAGTTACAGTATGGATTATTCTGTGAGGTTTTCCAATAGAGTTAAGTTATTCCAAGCTTTTTTTTTTGTTATATTTTAACTATGGTGTTTGAATAAATTGTGTTTTGCTTAACTTTGAGAAGTTTGGCATTGCGTCTGGAACACAGCACTTACTATTTGCCTTTAAAATAAGAAAAAGTTAAGGTCTAGGCTATCTTCTTGAAATATTTGAAGGGGTCTAGTCTGGTCCATAACATTGTTAAAGAAAAATTCAGGCAAATTGTTTTACAATTAAGTTTATGATGCTCTTCATTAGTTGAATGTTAATTATAGGGTGTATTATCGGGTTTTTTTTTTGCATAGAAGCTCTGTTATTTTGTGGCTTCCACCACAGCTCAGTAATATTATGTACCTTTTGTTCTTTTCTAGGGCTTCTTCATTACAGTGTCATCAGAATCTATTCTGAAAGTGGCAAAGCACGTCTCTGAAAACAATAAGATTTTGGGTCTAAATCTATCGGCTCCATTCATTTCTCAGTTTTTTAAGGAAGACCTGATGAAAATTATTCCCTATGTTGATATCCTGTTCGGAAATGAGACGGTTTGTTTTTTAAAATATACATAACTAACTTTTTTTAATAGTGCTGGTTAGTTGGAAAGTCATTGCTTGTTAGAATAATAAGTCTTTTTCTTCTTTTGATCTCCTTCATTTTATATTTTTAATATTGAGTTCAACTGTTATTTGGTCAGAACAAAGCAACTTGCACCGCCATTTAATGTACAAAAACATTCCAAGATATTTAACTTGTACGGTTTTACCTACATAACACTCTTATTTTATGAATTATCTACTTGAATTCAATGTTTTTCTCATGCTGTAATAAAAGGTTTAGAATTTATATGTAAGTATCATTTTTGGAATTCAAATTTCAAACCGGAGGCAGATGGGAGTTGCTTACTTGTGTGAAGGGTTGTTTCGTCTCCCCCCGAGAAAAAGGGTCAGAGAGTCCTTAATCAGCTGTGCCTGAATCCAGCATTTTTCATAAATCAAGTGACTGTGGACCCCTGTAGTGTTAAATGAAAAGATGTTTACAATGTTGGGTAGGGAACCATTTCATGTCTTAACTTTGTTTTCAGTTCTGAAGAATCTAGCATTGAATGAGTTTTTTTTTAAAAAAACTCATTCAGGAGACACTGAAGTTGAGTTTAGAAATGCGTTTAATTTCTGTCCCAGAAGGAATTTGTGGAACTTGTTACCTCAGCAGAAGAGCTTAGCTTATGCAGTTTTCAAACAAGAAAAGGAGGAATCAGAAAGGAAGTAGGTATTAAAACTGTAGCTGTTATATGAAGTGAATAGGTTTCCTTACAGTGTGTTAAGAATGGAGAGATGATTCAGGATGCTCAAGCAAATTCTTGCTCAACTTGTGGGAAAGTGAATCAGGCCACAGGAGGTTCTATGTATTTTGTTTCATCAGAGAAGATGTTTCCTGCTGCCTATCAAGGAGGTAAACCAGTCAAGTATTGAGAGAGACAGAAGCAAGTCAGGTGCTGTTTTTGGTATAATTTGCCTTCCGGAAGGTTTAGTGAAGGAGAAAATATTAATTGGAGGTATACATGGATGTTACAAGCCAGTCCCATTATACAGAGTTAATTAGAGTGTGACGTAGTAAATTGAGAAGTTATGGTTCGTTATGAAACACAACGATGGAAGGAATTGATTTTTTTTCTTGGGAAAATGACCTGACTGGTCCCAAGATATTTGCCTCCTTGAGGATGTTGTAACAACCAGCAGCAGAGGTAAAATAAGCTGAGATAGAAACATAGAAAATTGGAAAAGGGTAAGGCTGTTCAGCTATTCGAGATTGTGACATCATTCATCATGATCATAGAGTCATACAGCACAGAAACAGACCTTTTGGTCCAACCAGTCCAAGCCAAACATAATCCCAAACTAAACTAGTCCCACCTGCCTACTCCTGGCCCATATCCCTCCAAACCTTTCCTATTGACCAAGTGTCTTTTAAACGTTGTAATTGTGCCCACATCCACGACTTCCTCAGGAAATTCATTCCACACGTGAACTACCCTCTGTAGAAAAAATTTTTTTTTTTTTAAATCTCTCTCCTCTTACCTTAAAAATGTGTTAGCCATGATGTGGAGGTGCCAGTGTTGGACTTGGGTGGACAAAGTCAGAAGTCACACGACATCAGATTATAGTCTAACAGTTTTATTTGAAATCACAAGCTTTTGGAGCACTACTGTGAAAGCTTGTGATTTCAAATAAACCTGTTGGACTATAAACTGGTGTCATGTGACTTCTGACTTTAAAAATGTGCCCCATCTATCACATTCCAGGAGTGCTGACTTCCAACTCAGCTAAAATCAGCTCAGGTCTCTCATTGCTGAACATGGTCATACCCTCATTACCATCTTCACTATGCCCAGCCTTGATTTCTCAAGAGAATGTTTGGATGATCATCCAACTCATGAGGTATTACAAGAGGAATATCCTGGATTGTTTAATGACTGTGTTGTGATGAGATCTCAGGTACACAGAATTCAGCAGGAAATTGGACAAATGAAAAAGGGACATAACTGAATTTCCAAGTTATTGGATACAATTTTTGAACATTTAGATAGAGGATGATGAGCAAGAGAATAAGGTTGACATGTTTCACCAATCTTCTTTAATAGAAATGAGGCAAGTGGATCCTGAATTGAAAGAAGCAAAAACAGAAATTGCTGAAAAAAAGCTCACCTGGTCTGGCAGCATCTATAGAGAGAAAGCAGAGTTAACATTTTGGCTCCAGTGACTCTTCCACAGAACTTCAGAAGTTTAACTTCTCTCCACAGGTGCTGAGTTTATCCAGCAATTTGTTTTTCTTTCTGATTTCCCGCACCCACAATTCTTTGGTTTCCTGAATCGAAATAGCTAAATCAAACACTGACTCAAATTGAATCAGGATTGATACCTAAGTGATATTAGAATATGTCTTTCAAACTGAAAAAAATGCAGGTCACTTCAAATACCAGCTGATGAGGAATGAGCAACAGTCAGTAAAGTGATTTTCCCATCAGAGCATTGCCTCAAAATTTTGCAAGTGGATCACAAAATTCCAATAGTAGGTTATTTAGATATTAGGAAAATACAGGCTGAAATACTAAAACCTTTTTGTTGGCCAGAATTACATAAAGATGTTGTCAAATTTTGCTGGATGTGCATACATGTCAAGTGGTGAGAAAACCCCAAACATTAATTAATGCTGCAGATTTAATCCTGGTATAAATTTGCCAAGAACCATTTACTTTGATCTTAATAGATTGTGAAGGGACCCTGTCTAAAACTAGTAGTGGGAATTGGAATCTTTTAACAATTTTAGATCCTTGTAAATCATTTTTTGAAGCAGTGACTCTGGGGAAAATTGCTGCAAAAATTGTAGTAGATTAGTTAGTTTATTTACAAGTATGGGTTATCCAAAGAATTACAATCCGAGTGAGTTTCAAATTTATGTCACAAGTATTCAAAACAATGAATTAAAAAAAAACAAGTCATAGGATGTTGCTGACTGGGCCAACATTTATCGGCAATCCCAGTTGGCCTTGAGAAGTTGATGATGAGCTGCCTTCTCCAACCATTGTAGTCCATTTTAAGAAGGTGGAGCCACAATGCCATTCACGACAGAGTTCTAGCATTTTAAACCAGTGATGCTGAAGTCATGATGGTATATTTTCATGTCAGGATGTTGTGTGGGTCAGAGAGGAACATGCAGGTGGTGGTGTTGTCATGTATCTGCTTCCCTGTCCTTCTAAATAGAAGTGTTCATGGGTTTGGAAGGTGCTGTCTTTTTGAGAGATTTTGGAGCTGCATTCATCCAGGCAAGTGGGGAGTATTCCATCACACTCCTGACTTGTGCCTTGCAGATGGCGGACAAGGTTTAGGGAATCAGGCGGTGAGTTACTCACTGCAGAATTCCTAGCCACTGTACTTAAAGGTTCGCTGAGTTCAGTATCTGCATTAGTAACCAACCCCCAGGATGTTGATAGGTCTTTAGTGATGATAATACCCTTTAATGTCAAGGGGCAATGGTTAAATTTTCACATTTTGGAGATGGTCATTGACTGGCATTTGTGTGGCAAGAATGTTACTTGCCAGGTTTCAGCCCAAGCTTGGGTATTGTCCGGGTCTTGCTGCCTTTGAACATACACTGTTTCAGTAGCTGAAGAGTTGTAAATGGTGCTGAATGTACTGTAATCATAAGCAGGTGTAGTTTGGAAATAAAGCAATTCACATACTTTTGTGAATAGCATCACATCATGCTATTCACTTTGTCTATGCCTTCATGATTTTATGAACCTGTATAAGTCATTGAAGGATTGTCCGACTACATTGTCTATATTGATGACTTGATTGTGTTCAGCCAAACCGGAGAAGAACATTTACACCACTCCACTCAGCTGCTTGCTAACAAAGAGCTAATTTGGTTATAAATCTGGCTTAAAAATTAATTTGCCAAAGCAAAAGTGACTCATTTGGGCCAAGGCCAAGTTGCATCTTGCAAACGAAAAATAAGGTGTATGTTGGATTTTCCTATGCCCAACCCAAAACATGAAATTTTGTGATACATTACTTTGAGTGGATGTTATTGGAAGTTTGTTCTAAAATTCAGCACTGCAGTGGCTCCTTTGGCAAACCTATTGAAGAAAAGGCAAGAAAGTTGGATTGACAAAACAATATCAGATTGTCAGAATATCACTGGGGTGGCATGGTGGCTCAGTGGTTAGCATCGCCGCCTCACAGCACCAGGGTTCGATTCCACCCTCTAGCAACTTCTGTCTGCAGTTTGCGCATTCTCCCTGTGTCTGTATGGGTTTCCTTCGGGTGCCCCAGTTTCCTCCCATGGTCGGTATAGGTGGGTTGGCTGTAGCCCGTAGTGTCCAGGGATGTCAAGTGAGGTGAGTTCGTCATGGGAAATGTGCGGTTATGGGGATAGAGAAGGGGGGGTGGGTCTGGGTAGGATGCTGTTCAGAGGGTCATTGTGGACTTGATAGGCCAAATGGCTTGCTTCCACACGAGAGGAATTCTATAATTCTGTGGATTTAAAAGTTGTCTTGACGATCACATTTGTTTCAATATCACCAAGTTTACTGAGGAGGGAAACATGGATGCTAAGGAAATAAGGGAAACCAGTGAGGATGTTTTGGACCACATATGTATTACCAGAGAGGTGGTGTTTGCAGCCTTAAAGTGCATTAAGGTGGATAAATCCCCAGGGCCTGATCACATACATCCTCAGATGTTGTGGGAGGCTAGGGAAGAAATTGCAGAGGCTCTTGCAGAGATTTTTGCTTCATCTTTAGCCACTGGTGAAGTTGTGGAAGACTGGAGGGTGACTAATGTTGTTCCATTATTAAAGAAAGGTATCTAAGACAAGCCAGGGCACCACAGGCCAGTGAGCCTGACATCAGTGGTAGGCAAGCTATTGGAGAGAAAACTGAGGGACAGGATCAACCAACATTTGGATAGTCAAGGTCTGATTAGGAATAGTCAGCATGGATTTGTGTGTGGGAAGTCACATCTGACAGATCTTTGAGAGTTTTTCG